AATAAAGCCACACAAATATAGTGTTTCCTGTATTGCCACTCCCTCTGCTCCCCTAATGACATCCTTTCCTTACTTTCCAGCACTCCATTTCACTGTCCTTAGAACCAAGCAGAGAAGAGAACTCTAGAGGCCCAGGATTCCCAGGCACATGGGAAGAAGCTGTAGTATCTGCCACCCTGGTTTCACCCCAGAGAGGAGAGAGAAGACAGCCAGACACAGTGGCTCACAACTTTGACCCTAGCACTTGGGACACTGAGCCAGGAAGACTGCCGACCAGTTGAAAGACAGTTTGGGATACCAGGTGAGTCACACACCAGCATACTTATTTAGACCCAATTTCAAAAATCAAGAGAGAAAACATCCCACAGGTAGCAAAGAATATCAGAAGAACTGCAACCAGACTGTGAGAGAGGGAACTTGGAAGTTAGCTTCATCCACTTCTCTGCTGTTCGTTTCTGATGACAGAATCCATTTCAAAGCATCTGGACACTGACAAGAAGAGCATTCCTTCTGGAAGCTGACGGCAAGTAACCTCCATGAGTATGAGAATGCAAAACCAGGGCTGGTCCAAGGCACAAAGCCTACAACTGAGGAAAGAGAAGAGAAGGGAAGTGAGTGCAGCCTGGCCCAGCCCAGCCAAAGGGAGGTAGGACTGAAGGAGAAGCAACTAACAGAGAACAGCCTTGGACTCCAGCACCCTCCAGAAGTTGCTCTCACTTAATTCACCCCGGCCTGCACCAGAGTCACAAAAACCCTCTTAGATCCTGTCCTTAGCATCTTGAAAGCTGCTGACAGTTCACAAATCACATCAGCCAAAATGGTTTCAGAAAAGTTGTACTGGCTCAAGCTACATGTTTCCTTCTCAAACCACAGAGAGAAACTGTACATTTAATACCTACTAATGTGATATGTTTGATTGGAAGGTAAAGGTTCACATGCAAAACATAACCAAATTTACTGTGAATAGTTGTAAGAAGGATTGATGATCTACATCCTACCCTGGTGGAAAGAACGGACTGTCAAGTTGGTCTTTCAAGCTTTCACCTGCCCACATATCAGCAGACAGCTGTTGGTCCCCTGGCATCCTCTCCATCCAATCCCATCTTCCAGTTGGAATTCTGACCTTCCTATTGGCTACTGTGAGATTGATGACATCATGCCCCTCCAAACCTACCAGTACCTGGTAGAATCTTGGTGTTTCCATGGTGTTGCCTGTAAACACATTTGGATCATCGCAAGTGACCAGTGGCCAGTTAGTGCTGTCTGATACTGGCCACCACATGCTGGCTGGGTCAGCAGCTCAGAAAACGCCCACCATTTATACAGCTCCATTGACAATGGATTACTATTAATTCTCCCCTGACCATGTCAGGTAAGAAAAGAAACTTTTAATTAATGAATGAAAACAGAAGTCAAGCCCCACTTCTCTACTTCTTCATCCATCAGAAACAATTCCTACACTTTGGAGTTTTTAAACGAATTCTTCTGAGTTGGGAGCAACTCGGCAGCAGGGCATGTGCTGGAGCCATGAGGGACCTGGGTTCGAAACCTAGAATGGAACACTAAAAAAATATTTTTTGAGCTAGGATCTCCCCGTAGCCCCAAAGGCCTGGAGCATGTTATGTAGCCCAGGCTGCCTTGATCTCACAGATACCCACCTGAACCTGCCCCTTGATTATTGGATTAAAGGTATGCACCATTATTCCCAGCCATAATACAAAAATGGCAGAAAGTTTTAAAAATATATTTTTGGTGATGGATGCTTCTGTTTTGAGTAGGCAGTTTCATACATTGATAACAAAGTTGGATTTGAGGGTAAATATAAAAAATAGACTCTTTTTCTGTGCTCTTCCTACCAGTTATTGATAATATTGAGTGAACTATCTTTCTATTAGGAATTTTATCTGCTACATGGTGGGTGATATCACAGAAATATGAACTACAAATAAGCATAATCCTGGAGGTCCTCAGCCCTCACTGCTTAACTTTTCACTGTGACCATCCTGTATTTTATTTAGTAGTTTTTGTATTCAGTTTCCCTTAAGGATGGAGTATCTGTGTTGTTGAAACTGCCCTCAAACAACTGCAATCAACCAATCCTCCTGCCCCAGCATTCTAAGTGCTCTAAAAAGGCTGCCACATGTCAACCCCGAGTTTATTGACATATGTGTCATAGCAACTCCTGCACCCCCATTACTGCACTGTGCAGCCTGTCCTGCACTTTTTTTGACAGTTTCTCCATTTCATGGACTAGTCTCACAGACAATCAAAATCGAAACAGGTGGGTTGTTATACTCATTAATAATGGCAGTGAGGGAGGCTGAGGCAGGAAGAGAATAACTTGGAGCCAACTCTGGAAAAATACCAACACTGAAGCTCAAAAATTATACATAGTTTAAAAATGTTTCTAAACACTATACCTCAGTGTGTCATGTCACTATGTAGGAAGCTCAGGCTGGTCTCAAATTCAATAATGTTCTGTGTCAGCAGCCCAAATGCTGGAATCACAGATATGACAACATGGCAGGGCCAGAATAATTTTGTTGTTATTGTTTTAAAGCACGTTGGGATTTTCTTGCTGGTCTTGTTATCAATATTCAAAAAATACAAAGAGTTGACTTTTACAATACTTCATAACGGTGACAGGCTTCAACAGTAATTCACTATGATCTGATTCTTGCTATACACCGAAATTTTTTTCACATCTAAGTTTTCTCTTTCAAGGAGCGGTATTGGGCTTCATTAATGCCTGTCTTTCAGAAGATATGATACCTACCCCCCCACATAATACCGTAATAATACTGACATAGGGTATGTCAGAGGTAAATACTGGTTGAAGTGGTTTCCTGTCTGTACATCCTTTAGATAACATCATCCTCACATAATCTAGAATGAGTCATCTCACCTCACAGGATCTAGAATATGTCAGTGTTTTCATTGTCCTCTTGCTTCCTGCAGACAATTCCCAAAATGCAGCTTTCTTAAGAAGAGCGGATGCCCTGCAGCTCTCCCTTCCTGTGGAAAGCAGCGCCACGCCCTTAGGAAGTGTGGTCAGCTTCTCCACAGTCTGCAGCCCAGCTGTGAGCTCAGGACGGCTCCTGCCCTAGGCCTCCGGCACCTCTTCGCAACCACTCATGGCTGGTGCCTATCTTTACCAACGTGCTGGCACCACCATGCTGTCTGCGCTTCCTGACAGAGTCAGATATCCACTTCGGCGGTCTCCTATACAGGTGTCCTTCAGTGGAATCTCACAGGAAGAACCGACCACAGGTCATCTATACTTGGTGACATCACTGTGACAATCACTGATCAGGACACCACAGTCTCTTCCATGTCTGTGACAGCCCAGTGTGATCAAGTTTCAGACAGGAATGTGATAGTCCCTCTGTATCCAGCACTGCCAGCCAGCCGAGCTCAAGGCTCAGCATCTCAGAGGACAGGTCAAGGACACAGCAGGTCGCTTTCCAGCCAGGAAGGCAGCCAGCCCTACTGCTACCATCCCAGTACCCCGGAACCACTTCTAGCTGGAGAACTCAGGTCCTGCCTGCAGTCCTACGGCTCCAGGTCCTACACAGGGAGCATGGCCTCTGCCCCGCAACCAGAGCTCGTCATGGTGCTAAAGGCAAATCAGCCCACGGATATCCAACCACCTGGCTGCACTTCTGCAATCTATCACCCCATGCCAGCTCAATTCCTTGCAGAAACCACTTATAATGGTGAGTACAGACAGCTGGAAGGGAACAGAGTGAGACCAGTGCTCAAAGGAGACTGGGTTCTACAGCAGAGGAATGGAGAGTCCACAGAGAGGTAGAATGAGTCCTGATAGTTTAACATGCTCGGCCTCATCACATCAGTTTTAGATACTAAAGTAAGATGGGAACTCAGAACACTGTAAGGCTTCATGCTGAACTTAAGACATTCCCGGCAGAACACAGAGGTCACATGTTTCACTGCCAATGCTAAGCATTCCCCATACCACAATGCTGTAGTTAATTATCACAAGGTCCACTGAATTTTGTCTATGGAAGACATTTCAAAACAGCTAATTCCCACAAATTCGCACCACAATAGAAAACCATGTGTTCACGATCTGCTCCAAAGCAATCAGGTTCAGAATCTGTCCCTGAGGTAGCATTTCTCTGTCTCTGTATTTCTCTCTCTCTCTCTGCCTTTCTCTCTGTCTCTCTCTCTTTCTAAATGAGATATGATACATAGCCTATATATCTTATATAGTCTTTTTATATGTCTTATGTGCATACATATATTTAAATTTATATGTAAATACTAGGGTAAATTATATGTTTGTCTTTCTACTCCTTAGGTATGAATCCAAGGCAAGATGATGCAGGTAACGGGTCTACTACTAAGCCAAAACCTAAGCTTAAATATCCCAAGTTATTTTGTTATGTTCACTCTTGTTTTCACTCGGAACCATTGATAGGATGAGGGACTGGGGAGATGACTTATAGGTTAAGGTATTGCCTTGTAAGTCTCCAAACATGAAAAACTCCATCCCTACTCCTAAGGCATAACCACACCCACAAACACACATGCAAAAACACGCACAAGGTCCAACACAAAGAATCTTATGAAATAAAAATAATGATAATTACAAAAAAATACAAGAAACAATGACATCATATAATCATCAGAAACCTCAGCCTCCACTGGTCTCTTTACAAAGGGTCCTGTCCATGGTCCTTAAGCAGGGTTGCTAGGACTGCCTTGCCATTGGCAGTAGACGCCTGAATTCTGTGGTATTGTGGATCGAGGGGAACCATCTCATTTAACAGCAACCGACTTCTTCCTGATTCCTTTGCAGTGATGGAGACTCCCTTCCAGGTGGAGACTTGCCTGGGAAGGCAAGCACAAAGCCAGACACTTTGTCGGAAACAGAGCCCACAACTTTACAATTCCTATCCTCAATTCTCTGAGCTAAATATACCAATTGATTTGGGGGACATGTCAATAACAACTCAATTTGACAGTCCTTCAGAGCACGTGGCATTGTCTCCAACGCCCATGCCGAAACAAACAGAGAATAAGAATTTGAATGACATTAAATCTGAAATTTCAAAGTCTCTGGATGTCTACGTGATCACAAAAGAAAAGCAAGACCACTGATGGCTTCATTTAGCAACTCCTAACATTCAGCAGTCTCCGTCCTGCTTTGATGCTGAGAGCTGGAGGCAGAAGCCTACTTCTCACAATGCCAGTTTTGGGAACAACATCCAGGGTATAGCAGACCAAGGAACATTTGAAAATGGAATTGAGTCTAGCATTGACTTTGAAGACATCACTACAATTGTGGCAGATATTCACCTTCCCCAGCTGTTAAACTCCCTGACGGATTTGAATCAATTCCAATATCCCATAAAAAGCAAAGCCAAAGACGCAACCAACATCCAAATGAATCAGGCACAGGAAGAGTCAACTGTCTTAAAGACTCCCGTTGATTATGGCAGGAAGAACAAGAATACAGACTCTCAGATGCTTGATGGAGCTCCTCAGGCCAAAGTTAAATGCCAGGACTCACCCTGCCTGGTAGAAGGCTCTGTCGCTCCCTCCCTTGGACAAGCTGAAGACAGTGCCTGGGCCAGGGAGAGGCCTCCCGAGAACACAGCCAAGCACTCTGATGACACAGCTCAGAAAGCTACATCCAATGGCCACAGCAAAGCTAAGCGGCACAGGCAAGAAAAGAACAAAATGTCTAGAGAAAACAACACAAAGACAACCAAAGAGTGTAAACAGGCAAAGACCAATGTGAAGGCGGAAGAGAAGCCAGCCATTTCCAAGAGCAAGAGGAAGAGGAATCCACCTGAGCTCAGTAAGGATTGCTTTAAAAAGCCACGTACCCACCTGGGCATGCACATGCTGGAGTCAGTGCAGGTCTTTCATGCACTGGGGAATAAAACTAATAGGAAAACAGGACTCTCTTCCTCCCGTGCTGTGGGAAACCCCGGCAGGGCCAAGGAGCTGAGGCCATGTCCAGCCGTCTCATCACAGCTGGGCATCCCACATGAGAGGAAAGGTCCTGAGAAAACCCAGGGTCCAGCCCAGAACCCAGAGAGCACTGCTGGAAAGGAGTGTCCATCTCCATCCCAGGACCAGCTGCCCCCTCCAGGGAAGGTCAAGTTAGTGCCTCTGCCTTTCTTTCCTTTGGACAAGCCTCAAGTGCGAAAAGTTCCTAGAAGACCACTCTCCCTGGCTTCACGAAAGCCTGTTGCAGCTTACTCTGCTGGGCCTCACTCCAACTCAGCTCAGCCTCCCACAGTCAATCCATCTCAACCAGCTGCTGACAGCACATCTGTAATGGGTCTGGCCAAGCCAGCTGTGAAAATTCCCACTAATAACACCACACCTGGTGTGAGGAGCCCCACCCAGTCCAGCACTATTCCTCAGTCTGCTGCTTCAAAGCCTACACTCCACAAAACATCATCTTACCCATCCCTCCAGAAGGAGCCTGTTTCTGCTCCTCTGCCCAAAGCCCCATTACCTCTAAAGCCTCAATCTCAGTATCTCCTGGAAGACTTCAGCCGCCAACCAATTCCATGGAGAAAAGTCGACATTCCTGGGCCAGCCATATCATACCCCATCACAGCAGCACAGAGGTCAGAGCGGGAAGCCATGAAGAGGCAGGCTCAATGAGAGCGTGAGAATGCTGCCAAGTACACTGCTTTGGGGAAACTGCAGTTTTTCCATCAGAGGGAAAAGGATATGGAAATTTCTCTCTATTATGGCCATGCAACGTAGGAGCTACCAAGACTGCAGGAACAAAGTGGTTCTCCACGTAGATGTGGAGAGAGATAGAGAAACATATATAGATGTATGAATAGAGATTACAGAGATAAGTAAATATAAGATATAGGTTGATGTAGTCATAAATATGTATATGTGAATAAATGTATGTAGATAAAATTTCTATAACAAATATTTTGAAGTTACTAAAATTGACTAATGAAATATAATTCAGTTATTTCACTGTTGAGTAATACAGACTTTATTTTCCTTCTAACTAAGATACTATTGAAGTTTAAAGAAATATATATATATGTATGAATTCAGGAAATATGTAAACACATAAGTAAATCTGTAGATATGTAGAGAAATACATAGATATATGTACAAAAACGGGAATAGACAACAACTTTGAATTTAGTATTTTGGAAACTTAAGAAAATTGACTGTAGAAATGTAATTAATTTGATTGGGGAGATTATTTGTTGTATCCCCATAACTTTCATGTTATTAATTTACATTTCACTAAAATGTCACATGTTAAATAAAACTCAGGAAATATTTATGTTATATATAATCAATTAATAAAATATGGTTGAATTAAAATTATTCCTGTAGACTTTAATGTTTATTGTCTCTATTATTGTTCCTGATGTGTTTCATTAAAATATCTACTGAATATTGACCACTATCCTCTCTCCTCCCTTTCCCTGACCCTCCTTTGGCACCTGTCCCCCAGCCCTTGCTGATCATTATTCTGTGGCACAACTTTGATTTTAATTAAATGAAACATATACATACACATCACCGGTATGCAAATATATTCTAGGAGCCACTCATGAGAGAAAGCACACAAGGATATTTTGTCTTTCTGACACTGGCTTAAATTGATAAACAGGGTTATGTGTAACTTTATGCATTTTCTGGCAAACAACAGAACTTCTTGGTGGTTGATAAAATTTCCACTGTGTACATACATCATATTTTCATTATCCATTCCTCTGTTGTTGGACACAATGGTTTGGGTACATACGTTACCTACATTGCTAAAATCAACACTGATGTGGAAGCATCTATAATATCCTCAGTCCTTTGGAGTGCTCTAGGTGGGTCAGGTATTAGACCTTTCTTTGCTTCTGTGACAACCCTCCATGCTGCCATCTGTAGAGACTGGGATAGTTTACATCCCCACTAGCACCGTACAAAGGTTTGCAAACTGCCCATTTCCCTGCCAGCATTTGTTTTTGTCTTTTAAAGACTCCCATTCTGCTGGAACTGATGGGATTCGTGAAGTTTTCACTCAAATACTTAAATTCCGATGAGTTTGAACATATCTATGTGGCTTTTTGCAACAATGTTACATGTTTGAGAATTAAAAATTAAAACGTGTTTCATGTTTTAATTTGCCCATTTATAAACTTGGGTTGATTTATTCCACATAGTTTTGATTTTGAGGTCATAGTATAACCTAGATATTAAAACTTAGACATAAAATAGCACGGTCTTCCCCCACTGTGTAGGTTGGGCCTTCAGGAACTGTTTCCTTTTCTGTACTGAAACTTTGATTTTCAGGAGGACCCATTTCTCAATTGCTTCTGGGATTTCTATTTTATTTATTTTATTTTCTTTCATTTTATTTTTTATTTTATTATTTTATTTTATTTTGTGTATGAGTGTTGTGCCTCTACGTATATAAGTGCACTGGTATTGTGTAATACCTGCAGGGGCCAGGAAAGGGTGTCAGGACCCCTGAAACTGGACTTATGGATGGTTTTTAGACATGATATGGGTGTTGGAAACTGGACTCAGGTCCTTTGCAAGAGCACCAAATTCTTATAATTCCTGTTTCAGATTTCTTGAGTGAATGAAGTGCTATGCAATAGCACTTTCGCTACACCTTGCACTTTTTTGACTACTTTTTCCTCTAACAGTTCCAGGGTTTCAGATTTTACATTGAGGCCTTTGCTCCATTTGAATAATAATAATAATAATAATAATAATAGACGAAAAGAATTTAGCCAGTAATAGGGGTCATTGCCTTGACAAGACTTCAGAGGATAGAAAATGCCATGGCAAAGAAAAATCCTCATACCAGGAATAGACTCCCTCTTTTGAGGCTGTTGACTAGGGGTTCCATAGACCCTTGATCAATAGTTGTCATTGCCCCTGCTCTTCGTTATCCACCAGACCTTCCCAGTAAGACCTACTGCTGAAGATAGTACTACATACATGAAACTGTAGAACAAACAAGTATCCAAGCTGGTGCTCACTTCAAAGCTTCATTGCTCCTATCTAGGAGTAGTACCTTCACAGTGCTGGAAGGTACTATGGAAGCTACCTGAAGAAAAAATTTAGCATGACACTTACCCAGCTGTGAATCCAGTAAGCTACAACAGCAACTCGCCTGGCAAGACATGCACACTGGTTTAATAGTGGCAAAAACGTGAACATTACAAGAATAACCAACTAACTTCTAATTGGATTAAAGGTCGACTTCATACAGTGAAGCCCATATCTGACACTGATATCAGCCTGAGGAACCTGAGGCTAGATGGTTCACAGGCCTGAGAGAAAGCCTAATACAACTATTCTGTTAAATGGACATTAAACTGGTTTCTAATAATTTGTTGTTATACCCATAGATTAATATATCTCTCAGCTCTCATCAAAGAAGTGCATTTATACAGCAGATGATGATTAACACAGAAACCCACACCTGGCTATGGTGTAGAGACTAAGAGCCTGTAGACTGCTTATCTCTAAATAGAACACCTATATCAAACTTCTGCCTCCCTAGGATCACGGATGATTGTTGAAGAGGGGGTGAAAAGTCTATATAAGTTACAAGAGTTCAGTGATCACAAAGACACAGGGTTTTCCAGACAGCTGTACCCGTTACTCATTATGAACTCACAGCAATGGTGACAGCATGCACAAGGTTCCTCAAGTCAGACAAAATCCCAGCAGAGATATGAGGACCTGGCTAAGAAACCCCAATGCTACCTGAGGAGCTACTGACAACCAATGACTGCTGGGAAGGAGAGATTCAGTCACATTTAAGGATGAGACCCTAAGTGTGTTGACAAGGCTCCAGTGGATGAACGAGCATTGTAGGGTATTTGGGGTCAAATATTCATATATATATTTAGAGTACAACATCTTTGTGCAGATTAGAAAGAGTGGTGAAGATTCAGGGGGGAATCTAAAGATGATCAAAACATATTATATGAAATTCACAAAGCACCGCAATGTTTAATGCCACTGAACTGTGTTACTTAGAAAACAAATTGTTATATATATATATACATATATATATGTGTGTATATATATGTACACCTTGAGAAAATCTAACTAAGAAAGTTAAAGAATTGTATGTGAAAAGGACTTTGTTAAGACTTTGAAAAAAGAAATTGAAAAGATCAGTAAAAGGACAAAAATCTCCCAAGTTCACAGATTGCTAGGATTAATACTATAATAATACTATAATTAATACTATAATAATGGCCATAATCCAAAAAATATCTACACATTCAATACAATTCCCACTAAACTTCCAATGCAATTCTTCATAGAAATTGAAAAACTGTCTAAAATGTTATATGGAAACAAAAACCTCAGGACAGCCAAAAATAATCTTAATAACAGGAGAGCTGGTGGAATCACCATATCTGACTTTAAATTGTACTACAGAGAGATGATAGTTTAAAAAATAGTCAACTGGAAAAATAATCAGACACATTTATGTACTTAGACCTACTTGAATGTTAACAAGAGGACAAACATACATGCTGGAGGAGAGATGGCATCTTCAACAAATGGTGCTGGATAAGATGGATGTAGAACGAAACTAGATCCATACTTCTCACTGCACAAACGCAACTCTATAAGGATCAAGGACCTCAACATAAGATTTGATATCCCCAATCTAAGAAAGGAGAAAGGAGGGAATACACTAGAACTTATAGGCACAGGAGAAGAATTCCTAAACAGGACCCCAATACAGAGGCATTAAGACCAACAACTGAAAAGTGGAACCACATGAAACTAAAAACATTCTGTACAGCAAAGGACACTATGATTGGACGAATAGTAAGAAATCTTTATCAGCAACATATCTGACACAGGGCTAGCATCCAGAATATACAAACACCTTGAAAAACTAAACATCCAGAAACAAAATGCAAACTTTAAAGATAGGTGCAAGGAAATACAGAGTTATCAGAATATGGAATGTAAAGGCTGTGGAATCTTTTCTTAATTTTCAACATCCTTAGTGAACAGAGAAATACAAATTAAAACTACTTGGAGATTTCATCGTATCCAAGTCAGGATAGACAAGGAATTTTTAAATTTTTTAAAAATTTAATAACCACATGATTAGAAGAAGCATTTCATTACAGCTTTAACATATTCAATAACAAACTCCAGAGCAAGAATACATCTCTTTCAAAAGTGGCTGTAAATTTTTAGGTTCACAATTGAATTAATACAGTTGTACAAAATATACTGTTTCTTACAGAAAGACTCACTGTTTTTGCTACTGAGATGTTGGTGCAAGCATCTCTAATCTGTATGCAGCTGATTATTACTAGTCATAATCGGTTGCACTTGGATCCTTGGCACCTGTCTATGTTAAAGCTGTAA